GGGAGGGGGAGGGCAATAACTCTTGCAGTCCTCCGCCTTGCCAGTTGGTAGTTACTAGTATTCCAGACACTTCCTAATGCCAGACAAATGCTCCAAGCCTCGGCATGTCTGGCTTGGAGATCTATTCAGCTGATAGTAGCTGCCTCTTCTGGGGAGAACAGGGCTGCGGCTGCTAATCAGACCCAACATTGTTCTCAGAAGGAAGAATGGAAAGGTTTGTTTCAGAGTCACATTTTCTTTTCTTTTCTTTCTTTTTTTTTTAAGAGGCATCCAAATTGTTTTAACAAGTTACTACAAAACGTGGGCTTCCCGAGGTGAGGCTGTTTTGCACAGTGTGTGTACTGTACAAAGATCCAGGGAGGGAGGGATCAGAAAGTTAGGGTCATTTAAAAAAAAAAAAAAGCCCCAGGCACTTAATGCCTGGAAATGATGTAAGACGCAGCCACTCCTCTGTTAGAACTACAACCAAACAATGCTCCGGCCATCCACAGCAGCTGCTCTCCAAATGTCAGCGCCAGTCCCAGTCAAAAAAGCTTGAAATCTACCAGGCTGAAGGACTTGGTGCTGTGCCCTGGTCTCCCACATTTTCCCTGAGCGTTCTCAGGAACCTGGCAACAGGTAACGTGGCAACCTTTGACTTATAAAATGGCAAGTGGCATCATTTCAGGGAACAAATGGATTTTTTTTTTCTTTTTCTCCCAAGCCAGCTGCTTCTCCCCCCCAACACCGGCCCCACACCCAACCCCCATCCCTCCCACTCCAAAGTCTGAGAAAACAAAGTATTGCTGCGGGCAACCCTACTCTCGACAGTCCCCTTGTGGCCAAACCTGGAACAACACGTACATACTCAATGGCCGCTCGGCAGCAAGGTAAGTGGCGCTGCTGCGGAAGGGGACCTTGGCTGGACTTGTCTTCCAAAAACCAGAGTGGAAGTCAAGACTCAGAACGTCTTGCTTTATATACTAGCACCTTAAAAAAAAAAAAAAAAAAAAAAAACCTTCTCCGGCTTTCGGGTAAAATCTAGGTTGCGGCTAAGGATTTTTTTTTTTTTTAGCAGTAGCTATATTAATATTTTTTAAAGTAATAAGTTAAAAAGCAAGAACTGCTCTAGCAATGTTCACCCAATCTCTTCACATCCCAGTCAGATGGGTAGATGGCAATGAATGCAAAGACTGGGGATTCCTGCTGCCAGTGACTGACATTTTCCATTTTTATCTGAATTTGTACTGTATATGCAGACACCTCTCTCTCAGGCTTGAAGCATTTCTAACTGCCTTGCTGTCTTCCAGTGAGCCTGTTTGCAAAGATTACTTAAGATTTCCAGCCTGCAGGCCCAGCTTCCCGGAGAGCATGCCTCGCAGCCACACCTTCACTCTTTTATCTCTGTGTGGGGCAAACACCCACGAAAATGCTCAGGGCAGTGTTTTGAACCTGCTTTCTTCCTCCCAGGTCTGTTTCCACCCTGTGGTCTCTGAAGGAGCTTCTGGTAGCTCCAGCTAGCCCAGAAAAGAAGGCCTGTCTTCCTTCTGCTTCAAAATAACTGGAAAGGAAAAATGAGGTTCAGATCAAAGTGACTGTTCTCTTCAGGAAGTTCCGTTAATTAACTAGATTAGAGGGTGCTAAATGATGTTTGGATGAAGGTCATTTCAGAAGGTTCAGGGCCAGAGGTTCAGGTCTTAAGCTTGTAATATGTACTTTTAATGAAGTTTGACAGTAAGTTGAGTAATATTGGAAACTGAAGGTTTCCATATGTAAAACCAGCGGTTGCCTGAAATCAGTTTCAAAGGATCATCTTGAAAGTAGATATTTGGCTAGTATTTGCCTCGATCATTTAATACTGGAGATTAAAAACCTAGGGTTCTGATTAAGAATCATTTGGCCAATGCTAAAGTCAATCGTAGCCTTCATGTTGAAATCAGGGCGTTTAGGACTTGGGGCTTACTAATTTCCAAGGAGGGAGTGTTGCTTGCAGTTGGGAATGTGACCAGGATTTCACGGCTCATTTTCCCGGCTTCTCTAACAGGTGCTGTTGAGTCATCCATGTACACAAATGACTGCCCGGGCAGTTTCATCTGTGAGGATTAAATTTCCATTTGTTCCATTACTTTATAAAGTGATTTCTACCAGTGAGTCAGATAGATCACTTCCTTTTAGATCTAGGATTTTTTTTTTTTTTTTTGAACATTCATAATGATGTGTGTATTTTTCAAAATGGGTCCCAGCCAGGTCTGTTGGTCTTCCTGGTTTGAATGGACTGTTTACAAGAGAGGAAGACTCAGGGACCAAGGTCGGGGTTACAGGATTATTTAAGGTTTCCTGTTTGAGCAGCTGGTCTACCATCCCAGGAGGCTGGGATGGGGATCGCGCTAGGAGCAGGGAAGGAGATTTTTCTTCGAAGCCTTTCATCAGTAGCTTTCATTTCTTGTCAGATGTCACTTCTCAGCAATACGGTCCTATATTTCCCCCTGATCAGACTGAGAGATGGGAATTCACTAAGGATTGAAGAATCACAAGGTCAGGCATTGTTGTCTGTTTTATTCACAGATGTCACCACAATCCTTAGAACACATGCGTCACATGGTTGTACTATGGCTAATACTTGTTGCATGAAGGAACAAATAAGAATGAAAAGAGTCTTCCTAGAGAAGAAGGAAAATGGATCAACAATCCAGAAAGAAAAGTAAAAGGAATAAACAGCAGAGCCATCTTTTGTGACCTGGGATGTCACAATACAGTCCGTCCTCTATATCCATGGGTTCTGCGTCTACAAGTTTAACCAACTATCAATCAAAAATATTTGAGAGGGCTGGGGTTGGGGCTCAGTGGTAGAGCGCTTGCCTAGCATGTGTGAGGCACTGGGTTCGATTCTCAGCACCACATATAAATAAGTAACTCCCATTGACAACTAAATTTTTTTTTTTTAAATTTTGAGAAAAATCACACGTTTACAGACCTTTGTCCACATTATTGTTTCCTAAACAATACTGTGGACTGGCACAGTGGTGCACACTTGTAATCTCAGCAGCTTGGGGGGCTGAGGCAAGAGGATCCCAAGTCTGAGGCCAGCCTCAGCAACTTAGTGAGATCCTATATCCAAAAAAAAGGTTGTGGGGCTGGGGTTGAGGATGTAGCTCACTGGTATAGAGCACCCTGGGTTCAATCCCCAGTACTTTGTCCCTCAAGATACTGCATAACAACTATTCACATGGCATTTGTGTTGTATTAAGTATCAAAAGTAATCTCCAGATATTTTGAACTATATGGGAGGATGTGCAGGGGTTATATGAAAATATTATAAAAGGGACTTAAGCATCTGAGGACTTTGACATTAATGGGGGTAGAAGGTCCTAGAATCAATCCTTTGAAGATACCAAGGAGCAACTGTATTCCCACTTCTGTTTGATATAGGCCAAGTACTAGCCAAATACAATTATGAATGACCAACTTTTTTTTTTTTTTCTCAGTACTGGGGATTGGACCCAGTACCGTAGCTGTTAACTCCACTACTAAGCTAAACCCCACTCTTTTTTACTTTAAAATTTTGAGATAGGGTCTCAGGGTCTCCCTAGGTCACCCAAGCTGGCCTTGAACTTGTGATCCTCCTGCCTCTGCCTTTGAGATGGCTGGAATTATAGGCAGCACCACCATGCTTGGCTAGTGACTGACCAACTTTTGACATGGAGCAATTATGTTAAACCCCAATCTAATTCCCAGTCGCGTCACATTGGGGGTTGGGGACTTGGACTTGGTTTAGTGGTAGAGCAGGAATTTGGCACGCATGAGACCCCAAGTTCAGTCCCCAGCATGTGTGCAGGACACACACACACACACACACACACACACACACACACACATCAACACCAGTTAGTTTAGTAGAAACTACTAAGTCACCTGTGGCTTATTTACCTAATGTCCATTCTCTTTGCTGGGTATTACCCAGGAGGGCAGGAGGGATGGTTGTTGAGGACCCAGGATGCTAACCACCCTTTTCCTGTATGATGGCTTTACTTTCTTTTTTTTTTTTTTTTTTTTTTTTTTCTGTTTGATGGCTTTTCTTTTTTTTTTTTTTTTTTTTTTTTAAGTTGTAGTTGGACACAGTATCTTTATTTTATTTATTTATTTCTATGTGGTACTGAGGATCGTACCAAGGGTCTTGCACATGCTAGCAAGCGCTCTACCACCAAGCCACAACCCTGGCCTTTAGCTTTACTTTTCCTTAGCTCCTTCTACTCATTTTCTTGGACCTCTTATCCTGTGTTCTGTCTGCTTGCAGACAAGATGGATATGTGAGCGCCAAGGACCATTCGTTCCTGCCTGTTCTGTTTCATGGGAATTAGCATCACCTGCTCAGTGGAAGGAACCTGGGGTCTGAAATAGGAGGACAGATCTGGATTGGAATTATACAACACAACCAATCAGGCAGTGAAGACTTTCCTGCCTTGTCACTAAGCCTGGTAAACTAAGAAGAGCTTGAGTGTCCCTACCCCTACAGCTGTACTGTACAGAGCAGCTGAGGGTTTCTACAGGGGACACATGTAGGATCTGCCTGGCTTCAGGAAGTGAGAGGCCTGAATTCACACTTAATGGGCATCCAGTCTGCCTAAGTCCTACCTGAGAATCCGGTGTGGATTTACCAGTAGCCCCTCACCCGCCAACTCCCTGGGTTTGGAGAGAAGGCAGATCTATAACAGCAGCCAGAGGTGCCCCCTGAGCCTGGTGCTTGGAGCAAGGCTTCCCCTGGAGCTGGAGCTTCTGCCTAAGGCAAACTGGGAGCCCCAAACCTGGGAAGACAGGATTTGTGTAAGCGCATAAGAAAGAAACACACTGCTGTTGCTTTCAGCTACCTGGGAGTGGAAGGCCCTCCTGCAGAGGCCGAGGGGGCTCTGGGCTGTGCAGCAAGGCACCCAATTATTCATCCTGCTCCTCTCCTCCTTCCTCCCTGAACCCCACCCTCCCCTTTTCAAAGGAACAACCATCTGTGGGATGCTGCATCCATCACCCACTTGGCCCAGAGAGGATGCCAGCTCCTTACAAATCCTCCAGTAGGATCAGTGCTTTAAAATCATACCGCGTTGTCCAGCTGTCATGGACAGAGGAGGACAGGAACATTTGTCCAGGTGTCCCCTTGAGCTCTTTCTCACCCCCACAGCCATTTAAAGTGTCCCTCAAGGCTGCATTTAAAATATCACCTTACTGGGCCTGGGAGGAGGTTGGTGGGAGCCCCATTCAAGCACCAACACAACAACAACGGAAAAAACAAAGAACATCTCAAAAACACCTTACAGTTTGGTGTTTGTTATTTACCAAAATTAAATAAAAAACCTATGAGCCATTTAAATAAATTTATTTTTATTATGAAAATTTGAAACAGTATCTCATTAAGTTGCCCAGGCTAGCCTGGAACTTGTGATGCTCCTGCTTTAGCCTCTCCAGTAGTTAGGATTGTAGGCATGTGCTCCAGAGCCCAGATTGTCTTTTTTTTCAATACTGAGCATTGAGCCCAGAGCTTCATGCATGCGAGGCAAGTGCTAACCTAGGAATCTCTCAAGAGTTTCAAATTGGTATCAACTTTCCTTTCTCAGTCCCCATCCTCCTCCTCATTCCTTGCCTGTTTAGTAAAGGCATGCACTTTTGCTAGTCTCATTAAATTCTTAAAACAACCCTGCAGAGGAGGTTATGATCTAATTCTGCAGATGAAAAGGAGAGGTTGATGTCCAAGTTCTCCCTGGGTGAGGCTGGCTTGGAACCTGGGTTCTTCCCACGAAAGCTTTACTTATCTTTGAAAGGGCTCTCTTCTGCTTTTGTCCTTAAGATTCTCCTTTGAACCCTGTGAGAACAAAGTCCTAGCCTGTATCTGAACCTTTCTTTGGCTAAATGTGCTTGGAATTGGGAGCTTGGGGGATTTTAGATTGTTAATACATGGCAGACCCAGCAATCAAGTACTTGGAGGGGTCTGCAAGAGAGGAGGTGCAGTCACACTGCAAATAGATCCAAGAACTGGTTTTAGGTAAAGGCTTTCAGAAATGTGGATGGGGTGATGTAGAGCCTCACGCATGCTAGGCAAGTGCTTTACAACTAAGCCTCAAGTTTCTTTTTTTTTTCTTCTTCTTTTTGTGGTATTGGGGATTGAACCCAGGGCCTTGTGCATGAAGGCAAGCACTCTACCAACTGAGCTATATCCCCAGCCCTCAAGTTTCTTTTTTAAAACTGAAAGTGAGCCTGGTGCAGTGGTCTAAGCCTGTAATCCCAGTGATTCTGGAGGCTGAGGAAGGAGAATTGCAAATTTGAAGCCAGCCTCAGCAACTTAGTGAGGCCCTAAGCAACTTAGACCCTGTCTCTAAATAAAAAATAAAAAAGGGCTGGGGATATGGCTTAAGCACCCCTGGGTTCAATCCCCAGTACTTAAAAAAATAAAAATAAATGAAAGAAAAAGCAAAAAGAAATGTGGAAGGAAGAATGATGTCCCACCCCAACCTTCCCACCCTTGGAGCAGTAAAAGCTCCCACCAGGGGACATCTTCCTGCAGAGGCATCTCAAATTCTGGCCCTCAGTCCCTCCTATGGAGGGTGGCCATGTGTGGTGACACAGTGGCCGTAAGTGTGCCAAGTTTTACATCTTTAAGGGAAGGAAAGCTCCAGTATAGTACTTCTAACACTTGTCAACTGGTTTATCACAGTGTGCCCCACACTATATGGGGAGGCATCCATTTTTGGCTTTCATTATGATGGTAAGAGCGGCATTCCTAGAAGTCCTGTTTTGGTACTGGGGAGTGAACCAGGTTACTGGGGTGCTCAACCACTGAGCCACATCCTCAGGCCATTTTATATATATTTATTTGCTTATGTCCTCGTTAAATTGCTGCAGTTCCCAAGTTGCTAGGATTACAGGTCTGTGCCACTACACCACACTTAATAAGGGCGTTTTAGCGTGTTTTTTTTTTTTTTGTATTGGGGATGCAAGTCACGACCTTGCATGTGTTAGGTAAGAGCTCTACTGTGGATCTACCGCCCCCACCCCCTCAGGCCCGTGTGTACATTTTTTAAACTCACTTCTCCAACATTCTCTGATCCGCCTTTTCTTTCTCATCCTCTACCCTACCCTCAGGCCACAGTCTGACTTCACAGCAAAATAAATAAAGCAGTTTTTACCTTGGCCCACTATAATTTGTACTGACAGGAGGGCAGCCTCTTGCTAGGTGCAGCTGGGTGCCAGCTGATTTGATGCAGCTCAGGGAACTGTCTAAAGTTTATCTGGAAGGGCACTCTTTATTCATTAAAACTACCTAGTGCACAGTTTGCCAATCCTGCATGCCACCACCCCCCCCCCCCCCCCCCCCCCCCCCCCCTCCCCTTTCGCCCCCCCCCCCCCCCCCCCGCTTTTTTTAACCAGAGATTAATTTGGAGGCACTTAGCCACTGAGCCAGATTCCCAGACCCCGCCCCCGACTTTTCCCAAAGTTTGAGACTGGCCAGGTACAGTGGCCGACCCCTGTAATCCCAGCAGGAGGATTATGAGTTCAAAACCAGCCTCAACAATTTAGAGTGGACCTAAGCAATTTAGCAAGACCCTGTCTCTAAATAAATAAAATATTTAAAGAGGCTGATGATGTGACTTAATGGTTAAATGCCACTGGATTCAATTCCCAGTACCAAACAAAAAAAAGAGACTGGGTCTTGCTAAAATGCTTTGGGCTTCACTGAATTGCTGAGGCTGGCTTTGAACTTGATCCTCCTGCCTCAGTCTCCTGAGCTGCTGGGATTACAAGTGTCCAGCACAGCTCCCAGCTCCAATCCCATTTTATTTTATTTGGGGGTGGGTACTAGGGATTGAACTCAGGAGCACTCAACCACTGAGCCTCATGTCCAGCCCTATTTTGTATTTTATTTAGAGAGGGTCTCACTGAGTTGCTAAGCACCTTGCCATTGCTGAGGCTGGCTTTGAACCCGTGATCCTCCTGTCTCAGCTTCCGGAGCTGCTAGGGTTATAGGCCTCCGCCTATAATCCCATTTTAAAATACATGTTTTTTTGTAATGCAAAAAAAAAAAAGAAAAAGTACATGTATAAAGACATGAATTGGTGTGAACATACTTCATATAAAAGATATGAAAAATTGTGCTCTATATGTGTAATAAGAATTGTAATACATTCCGCTGTCATGTATTTAAAAATATACAATCAATTTAAAAAATGATATAAAAATGCATGCTTTTATGCCACAGTTTCAACACAAATGATAACAGAAATCCATGCAACAGAGCTTAAATTATAGAATAAAATGGGGTTAGGGGTGTAGCTCAGTGGCAGAGCTCTTTCCTAGAATTCACCAGGACCTGGGTTTGATTCCCCAGCCCCCTTCAAAAATAAAACGAAAACAAACCCTACAACCTGATGTGAAGGTAGACAGATATACTAGTAAACTACAGACATAAATAGTTAAAGAACTAGATGTTTTTATGACCTAAGACAAGCACAGCACTGTCTCCTGGTGTGGATTATAGCCTAGTTTTCAAAAGGAATCGTAAAAAGTAAAGGCAATAAAATATGATTTTATTTATTATTTTATTTTTAAATTTCTATCATTGCAGGTCAAAGATTTTATTAAATAATAACTTTGAGAAAAAGCAACTATTAACACTGCAAACCTACTAAACCAGTGGATATCAAGATATTGTGTGTGGTAGTTGGGGCTGACCCTGCTCATGATTACAACTGCTCCATTACTGTGGCTTAGGTCCGAAGGGACCCCAGTAGGTCAAAGCTCAGGTTCAGGAAATACAGGAAAAACTCCGAGGGAAGTAGAACTAGTCTGTGGATCGAAATTAGCAATAAAAGATTGGAAAAAGGATCACAGGGAAGTGAATAATTTTGGCGGTCGCTGCTCCAAGGTTCAGCCCTTTTGCAGTTTCTGATAACCTTGTCAGGTCCCCCAGATAAAGGCAAGTCTTGTCACCCTTGGGCACCTGGCTGAGAGGTAATAAAACGGTTGCCTTATCTCCTACGGGTGGAGTTAAGTCAAACCTCAGCCTGCGGTAATTACAGTACCCAGGAATTGCCAGTCCCTTTCCAAAAAAGAGTGGGGGGAAGGGAGACTAGAAAAAGCCAGAAGGCAGGAAATTGTGTTTGTCTCTCTTCTAGGATTTAAAAAAGAAAGCAAGCAGAACAGCAAGAAGTTTTCCAGGGAGTGAGAAAAACAGTTGGGCTAGCCTCCCCTCCTCTGGGGTTAACAGGATTGCCCACAGATCTGGCCCACGTGATGGTCAAGAAAAGAGGCTCCAGCTGAGGAAAACCCAGGAAATCTTCTTAGGAACCTTCCTTTCTAAATGTAAATGACTGAGTCATTGCTTTGCTAAGGAGGAGAGGAAGTTGCAATCACCCAGTGACTCACTCGCTGCTGTGAGCTCAGGCAGTTGGATAAAAAGTTTTTAGCAAAAGCGGCAACAAATCTGCTTTAAATACTAGCCCAGTAAGGGAATTCCTCTCTTTCGGGATGAATGCCATCCACACAAAAGAGCTCCTGTTGACATCTCTTTTACAATCTCCCCCAGGACACAGACAAGACCTTTTCAATAAACCCGGCTCAGAAACACCTATTATTCAAAATCTTCCTCTAGCAACAGGCTTTCACCACTGCCTACGGCTTTGCAAAATAAAAGATTTAGATGGAGAAGGATTGGGACTAGGGAAGCTGTGGAAAGAGGCAGGAAAGAAGTCCCTTTGACCTGGTGAGGTCTGAGAGTGTGCAAGAAGAAGAAAGTTAATGGTCTTTCCATTTTTCTAAGTGTCCAAGAAATGCTGGTGACTGTCTTGGACCAGTGACTGTGGATTCTAAACTGGATGCCAACTAGGTAAAGAAAGTAACTCCTGCCAACAGGATTGCTCAATGAAAAACCCAGGCCGAATCGAACCTATTCCCAGCCTTACAAAAGCCCTAATAGCAGCCCTGGGAAAGCACAGGTAAGTCTTTGATCTGAGCTGTTCCATGTAGAATCTTCTAGCTCAGCTCTCTGCCCACTCTGGTCCGCTAAATTCCTCTCCATCATTTCCACAAGGTGACTCCCTCTCTGAATAACACTGGATTATTTTCTGGAATTATATATAGTACTGCTCTTGGAATAGGCCTCAGATTAAGGAATCTATTTGTGTTTACCAAAAAAGTGAATGAAAGGAAGGGCATTTTAAAAATACTCATTATCTTTACCCTCCCAGTAGATGGTCAGTTCACCTTCCCCAGCTCACTACCTGACCCTTTATCTTTAATTCCTTGGGTCTTTCTCTCCTATCTCTTAAGCCCCTCTGGAATCATTCACTGTCCTCTTTGTACCCTTCTCTGTCCCTAGATCCTACTGTGCATCATCTCCTGTCTCTGGTGTCCTGGTAACTCCCTAACTCCAAGTTTCTCCATCTTCGGAGCTGTGACTTATTAATGAGTCATGACATCAGCTGAGGTGAGTCAAACCGCTTCACCATGTAGAAAACGAAAATGATTCAATAGGAAACATTAGCATGCACCATGTAGGAAAAGTACTGTTATGTGTACCCAGAGTGGGCAACAGGAAGAGAGGCAGTTTGTTGGTCAAAATATCTGGAGAAATACCTTTCTCATTGTTCTCACTGGGTCGACCTTGTCCCTGCTTCCAAACCCTTGTAGACAATCAGAGCAATAGTTGGGAATGTGTCACAGATCTGTCACTCCAGCTTGCTCTTCTCCCCCCAGGAGAAAGTCTCCCATCTGGGCCTCAGGGGATTCCTGCTAACCTGGTTCCTCTTCTCCTTCCTGAGCACTTTTTAAAAGTTATTCAGTCTACCACATTCCCTGGCTGTGCACCTGTTCCCTCTGCAGGGACATTCTTTCCTTTTCTTTCTATTTTGAAATCATCTTAGTTCTCACTGCTTCCAGGAAGACATCTGGATCATCCCTCTGGATGCCTCTTCTAGTTCTTACAAGGCTGAACTTCACAGAGCGCTTGCTACATGGTGGTTGTCTCCCAGTTCCCAAAAGCACTCTCAGCCCCGAGGGGGCATTCAGTAAATATCCGTTGTGCATCGAGTGCTGCATGTCCTACCTACACAGTTCACATCTCCTTGTGACATATCAATTTGGATAGTTCATTAGAAAGTATCTTAGCCAGGTGCACACGCCTGTCATCCCCACGGCTCAGGAGGCTGAGGCAGGAGGATCCCAAATTCAAAGCCAGCCTCAGCAACTTAGCAAGACCCTAAGCAACTCAGCAAGACTCTGTCTCATTGTAAAAAATACAGGCCTGGGGTTGTAGATCAGTGGTAGAGCACTTGCCTAGCATGTGTGAGGCACTGGGTTCAATTCTCAGCACCACATATAAAACAAATCAATAAAGTCCATCAATAACTAATAAAAATATTTAAAAAATTACAACAGACAGGGGATGTGGCTCAGTGGTTAAGTATTCTGGGTTCAATCCCTGTTACAAAGGAAAAAAAAAGTACCTTATCTCTGTTTCTCAAAATTTTAGTTTTTATTTTACACTTCCCCATCATCCCCAGTTTATTTGTGTTTCACATACAACCTAATTAATTTTGAAATTTACAGACTCTTAAAAATCAAAATAATAAGACTGGAAGAAAGCTACTGGACTTCTTTGCTGCTCACTCACCCTCCCTTGTCTCAGATCTTTCATATGTAAATGGAAGGTCAGAACTCAATAATCTCTAAAATCCCTTCCAATCTAATACTTTAACCCTCTAACTTGATTTTTCTCCTTGGGAAAGGTTAAACAGCTTTTTAATAGCAGGAAATTATTTGCCTTTCTATGGATTTTTGAAAACAAGCAACACACAGAACCCAAAAAGCTTATCCAGGAAATATTCTCACTGTTGTTTTACCTTTAGATGGAGAGATCTTCGAATTTTATTTATTTATTTATTTTTGTTTTGAGACAGGGTCTTATGACATTGCGCATCCTGGCCTGGAACTACAGGTGTTATGGTTTGGATGTGAGGTGTTCCCCACAAAGCTCATGTGTGAGATAATGGGATTTGGAACTGTGGCTGCTATCTGTGGACCATCAACCTCATCTGGCTTCATTGTAAATCTCATCTCATTTTGCTTGGTATAGTTCTATTCTAATGCTCTTGGCTAAAAACTGAACAATTAGCCATCAGGTAGACCTTTGCTTACTACTCTTATCTTCTTGAGTTCAATTATTCTTTATGGCAAATTCTATTATGCAAGAGATTCTCAGCTGTGGTAGCCCAACTGCCTTTGTTGGTAACATGGTGGGTGACTAGTGGGTCTCTGGACATGCTACCTCCAAATATGGCACCTTGGCATTTGAGGAAAAAAAAAACAGAAGGAGGAAGGCTATTCACTTTTCCCTGGTAACATGCAAGGGCATGTCTCCTCTCTGCTTGGCATTCAAAATGTTAAAGAGTAGCCTCACCTAAATGGTTAAGATATTCACTAGTATGTAATCTTTCTTGATATTGACAGAACCCAGAACATCTGGTGACCTTCAGGGTACACCAGACTATGCAGCACCCTTCCTTATTCTTTTATCCTGTGCCTCAACTGACACAAAACATGTAAATTGCTGTGACTTTCACCTTGCAGAAAAGTAATGTCTATCTAGAGAACCATAGGAAGTAGCCCCAGGAAGTTCAGGTCCATTGTAATATGCCCACCTGAGAAAAAAGGAGAGACACACCCTGGATGATGAAGCCCCTGCTCAAGTGTCTCCTTCCTGCCCATTGGTCCCGCCTCCTTTCCTTTCCTATGAAAACCCTTTGTACACCTGATCCAGAAAGTGGTGCGCTCAGAGTATAGCCTCTGCACCCATCTTCTCAAGATGCCAGATCCTTAATAAAACTGATTTCTGCTGGGCTTGGGGGTGCACACCTGTAATCCCAGCGGCTTGGGAGGCTGAGGCAGGAGGATAGTGAGTTCAAAGCCAGCCTCAGCAAAAAGCAAGGCACTAAGCAACTCAGTGAGACCCTGTCTCTAAATAAAATACAAAATGGGGCTGGGGATGTGGCTCAGTGGTTGAGTGCCCCTGAGTTCAGTTCCCAGTCAACCGCCCTACCTCCAAAAAAAAAAAACCTGATTTCCTTCCCACCAACTCACCTCTACCTCTACCAAGTATTGGCTTTGGAGCATCGAGGAGCCAGAGCTGGGACAAGTAATACCCACCCTTCTTCCCTGAGCTGACCATCGAGTGACTGCAGATCAATCCCTCTCTTCTCTGAAGACCCTCAGGTGACAGGTATCCTGCCCTATGCCCAGAGGGGAGGGCTGTCCAAGAAGCATACTGTGAAGAATCTGAACCCTCCTGGCTAAGCTCCCAGCAGATTTTTAGATCCCACCCTTTGTCCTCCAATCATACTTATGTTCTACCATCATAAAAATACACACATTTCTCATTTTCTTTGGATCTTCATTTCTGAAGGCTCCCATGTCATGTAGAAATAAATTTCTATGCTTTTCTCCTGTTAATCCATCTTTGGTTATAAGCTGGTCAGTCAAGAGTTGGGTAAGGAAAAGATAGTACTTTTTCTGCCTTATATTGGAAAAGGAAGTATCTGGAATACTGTCAGAACTGGTGCAAATCCTGACCAGCCACTTTTAAGCCACATGACCTTAGATTATATATTATACTTCTCTCTCTGTGTGTGTGTGTGTGTGTGTGTGTGTGTGTGTGTTGGGGATTGAACCCAGGCCCTTGCACATGCTAAACATACACTCAAGCACTGAGTTACACACCTGTAGACCTTACAGATTATTTAATTACTTTATCCCCAGTGTCTTTATCTGTTGTGTTTGGATAACATTGCCTATCTCAGTGTAATGGGGTGAATGGAGAAGTTCTTAAGTTAGATGACAGTGTGGCACATACCATCTGACTCTTTTTCTTTTTCTCACTAAATTCAAATGATACAATAACCATCTTGAAAACTCCCGGAGGGAATTTTACCTGAAGGGAATGGATTTCACACTTCAAAGATGCTTTGAAGAGCTCTGTACATAACACACCTTCTTCTTCTTTTTTTTTTTTTTTAAATATAGAGTGAGAGAGGGAGGGAGAGAGAGAGAGAATTTTTAATATTTATTTTTTAGTTTTCGGCGGACCCAACATCTTTGTTTGTATGTGGTGCTGAGGATCGAACCCGGGCCACACGCATGCCAGGCGAGCGCACTACCGCTTGAGCCACATCCCCAGCCCACCTTCTTCTTTACCTTTTTTTTTTGCATGGGGATTGAATCCCGGAATGCTTAACCACTGAGCCACATCTTCAGCCCTTTGTATTTTATTTAGAGACAGGGTCTCACTGAGTTGCTTAGGGCTTTGCTGAGTTGCTGAGGTTGGCTTTGAACTATCAATTCTTTTGTTTCAGTCTCCTGAGCCTCTGGGATTATAGGCATGTGCCATTCCTCCTGGCCCTTTCTATTTTTATTTATTTATTTATTTTTTGGAAACTGAGTCTTAAATTGCAGAGGGCTTCATTAACTTTCTGAGGCTGGCCTCAAACTTGTGATCCTCATGTGTCAGCCTCCCAAGTTGCTGGGATTATAGGTGTGCACCACTGCACCCAGCAAAAGGCCTTTTCTTTCTTTCTTATTTGTTCTTTTTTTTAGATATACATGAAAGTAGAATGCATTTGGCATATTATACATACATGGAGTATAACTTATTCTAATTAGGATCCCATTCTTGAGGTTGTACGTGACGTGGAGTTACACTGGTTGAGTATTCATATATGAACACAGGAAAGTTATGTCTGATTCATTGTCCTGTCTTTCCTATTCCCATCCCGCTCCCTGCCCTTCATTCTCCTTTGTCTAATCCAGTGAACTTCAATGCCCCTCCCCCATGCCTTTTCTTAATGATTGATATTAAAACTTCATCTTCCTCTGGTCTCAACTCGTTCCTCCTCTCTTTACAGAGGCCTTCCTGGGCCACTCATCTTGAGCTGACCACTCCCTTCCATCCCAGTGTAACAGTGGCCGCTCCTTGGGGAATTGTCCTTGGCAAAGTTACTTTACCTCTCCTCCCTAGGCCATTCCACTAGGCTGTTTCCCTTCCCTAATCCTCTTTCAAGGTTTATATCCCTTCCTTTTGCCCTTCATTTTAAATTCTAAAGGGAAGCCCTAACTAAATGGTTGATGTTAATTGCTATATAATCTTTCTTTAAATTTACAGAACCTAGAACCAGTGGAGACCTTTGTTACACCACCTCCTTAGTCTTTAGTTCTGTGCTGCAACTAACAAAGCTGCGAGATTTAATTTCCAAAAAAGTAATCTGTCTGCCTAAAGAACTATAGGAACTAGCTGCAGGAGGTTAAGGTCCATTTGGATATTCTGGCCAAGAAAAGAAGACACACACCTGGATGATGAAGCCCCTGTCCCAGCATGCAGCCTTCCTTCCCTGCTTCTCCTTCCCCTCCCTGTAAAAGCTCCTTGCACTGGGTGCGGTGGTGCGAGGCAGACATCCCAGGGGAGGCTACAGCAGGAGGATAACAAGTTTGAGACCAGCTTTGGCAACTTAGCAAGATCCTGTCTCAAAATAAAAAGAGCTGAGAATGTAGCTCAGTGATAGAGTGCTTACCCAGCATGTGTGAGACCCTGAGGTTCAATCCCGAGTACTGTTAAACAACAACAAAAACACATAAACAAAACAAAAACCTTCACACCCTGAGCCCTCTAAGATGGAGCATTGAGGTTCATAGCCCCTTTGTCTTCTCAAGAGCTTGACCTTTGGATAAGCTCAATGCCTTCCTACATCTCTTTCTCTGTCTCTGCCTCTGTCTCTGTGTGTGTGTGTGCGCGAGAGTGTGTGGCTGGGGATGCATCCAAGCCCTCACTTGTGCTAGGCAAGTGCTCTACCACTGAGCTGCATCCCTAGGCCTCCCTCCTACCAACTCTCATCTCGCCAGGATTGGCTTTTTTGTTGATATTTGGTACTGGGGATTGAACCTAGGGCTGCTTTACCACTGAGCAACATCCCCAGCCCTTTTTACATTTTCGTTGTTGTTGTTGTTTTGAGACAGGATCTCACTATGTTGCTGAGCCTGGCCTTGAATTTGTGATCCTCCTGTCTCAGCCTCTCAAACTACTCTCAAACTACTGGGATAAATGTGCACCACTGTACCTCACTAAATATTGGTCATTGAGCAGTCAGCAGCCTGGACTCATTGCCCTTACTGATTTCAGAAGATACATAGAAAAAATTAAATTGTTTGTGATACTTGGGGGTGGGGGTAGCGCAGTAGTCAGGAGCTTGCCTAGCATGCATAAAGCCCTGGGTTCGATCCCTAGCAAAAAAAAAAAAAAAGGAAAAAAGGTGAATGTAAAGATCTTTCTTTTTTTTCTATCTCTTTCTCCCCCCATCCCCAACCCCACCCTTTCTTAGCTAAAACTGTGACCACGGGATGGAGAGTGGTGGCTTATTCATTCTTCTCTTTAATCCAGAATTTCCGATTCGGTGCCACTGTGTTTGATGCAGCCCTCAGTAGCCTTCCAGTTGCTGCTGTCTCCAGACCCCTGGCTGCAGATCAGCAGCTTCACTCTCCCCCTTGATCATGCCCTCTGGAGTCTATCCAAGGCCTTCCCCAGTCTTTCTCATGACCATACTGACCTCACCCCATTGCAGTCACATAGCATGACTGGCTCTGGCCTCTGCTTTATTGTAGTTGGAAAATTTAGAGATTGCCACAAATTTCTGATATCTTGCAGAATGATTTCCAGTCAGTGGTTTCCAACTTTTTTCATGCTCTCTATGTCCTCTGTTAGCTCAGAAAGGACAAAAAAAAAAAAAAAACCAAAACAAAATCTTTCAAGTATGTCTCTTTTTGCCTCCATGGTCAACACTAATGGTTTCCAGCCAGTGCAGGTTGGAGGGCACAATGTGAGTAGAACCAGCAACTTGGTTCTACTCTGTGCAACTTCAAGTATGCACTTGAGAATTTATCATTGTAGATCCTCTTTAAGCTTTGCTGCAGCCTGTCAACCAGAGTGCCCATGTTACCATGGTAACGGGTAGGATACTAGCCCTAAACTTATTCATCACATTACCAAAAATCTATCAGACTGCATGATATTTAAGCATTTGAGTTTTGACTGGGTGTTGTGTCGCGTGCTTGTATTTCCAGTCACTTAGGAGGCTGAGGCAGGAGGATCACAAATTTAAGGCCAGCCTCAGCAATTTAGTGAGGCCCTAAGAAGCTTTAGTGAGCTCAAAATAAAAATAAAAAGGACTGGGAATCTAACTCCATGGTAGAACACTCCTGGATTCAATCCCCAATACCACAAAGAAAAATAAAAAGAACATAATCTTTGGATACAGACCTTGATTTAAAAGCGTGTTACCTAGGGAAGGTTGCTTAAACTTTTTAACCATATGGTTTTTACTCTGTAAAATGCAGATAAGAATGAATAACTTCCTTCTAGAATTATTGGGAGGATGAAATGAAAATAATAAATGTGAAATGCTCAACAGAGTATCTGACACATATTAAATGGGGCCAATAAATGATACTTAACATAAATAAGTGCATAAGGGAAATAATTCTCTTTGTTTTGTTTTAGCAGCCAATCCTGGTGCCCTATGGCTCTGTGCAGAAGACACAAGAAAATTTTAAACTGTGTATTTCTTCCACACCAAGGTAGTCAAACTAGGCTATCCATCTTCATGGCAGCCAAATATATCAATTATCTTGCATAGTGCCAAGTAGGTGATACTTGATAAAACAAATGGGATTACAGGCTAAGTCTCTCCTGTTTAGTTCAGTTATTAGTGGTGTTTCTTTTATATATGTGTGTGTGTGTGTGTGTGTGTGTGTGTGTGTGTAAATTCTCATTTCACATATCTTTGAATTAATAGTTTCAGTCAAGTAGTTCTGAAACATTGAACATTTATATGTATTAGTCAGCTTTCCATTACTGTGACAATATACCCAAAGTAAGCAACTTAAAAGAGAAAAGGTTTATTTTGCCTCACGGTTTCAGTACATGGTTGCTCGACCCTATTGCTTTGGGCCTGTGACAGAGAACACATGGCAGAGGAGGTCTCTTCACCTCATGGAGGCTAGGAAGCAAAGAGAGACAGGATGTGGCCAGAGTCCTAATATCCCCTTCAAGGATACTTCCCTAATGACCTAACTTCTTTTCACTAGGTCTCCTAAAGGTTGAAGTACAACCACAGGGCTGCCATTCAAGCCTTCAGCACATGGACCTGGATGGGACATTTAAGATCCAAACTCCAGTAACATCTTTTATACAATTTTATTTTTAGCTATTCTCCAGATGTTTACATGAGTTAGAAATAAGCAAAACAACAAAAGCTTTTATGATACATATACATGCATACATATTTATATATATATACACACATATATGTGTATACATGTGTATAAATTTGTGTGTTTGTGTGTATGTGTTTTGCTGGGGATTGAATCCAGGGCCCCCCATGCATGCTACTAGGCAAATGCTCTACCCCTGACCTACAGTCTTACTCTAAATATACTTTGAACTCTGTCACTTTTCTACTGATAATATAAGAAGGATTAGATTAGGAACTATGTTAAAAAAAAAAAAAAAGGTTTGAGCTTTAGTAAATTACTGGTAGCACAGGTCTCTAAGTTGCTGAGAGGCTGGCCTCAAACTTGAGATCTTTCTGCCTCAGTCTCCTGAGTTGCTGAGATTACATGTGCTGATTGCTATTGTTTTAAAGCACTAAGTTTTGGGGGTGATTTTTTACATAGAAATGGATAGAATAAAGCCAATCGCAGTGTGCATGCCTGTAATCCTAGCGGTTTGGGAGGCTGAGACAGGAGGATTGCGAGTTCAAAGCCAGCCTTAGTAATGGCAAGGTGCTTAGCAACTCAGGGAGACTCTGTCTCTAAATAAAATACAAAATAGGGCTGGGGATGTGGCTCAGTGGTTGAGTGCCTCTGAGTTCAATCCTCAGTACCAGAAGGGAGGGGGAAGGGGAAGGGGAAGGGGAGGGGGAAGGGGAGGGGGAGGGGGAGGGGGAGGGGGAGGGAAAGATAAATGAATAGAATATTGTCCTAAAACTTGGGAGTGGTAGATTTAAACCTAAGCTGGCAACTTGGTCTGACTAGTTCATGATTGTCTTCCAGAGTCTTTTAAAAAAAATTTAACCACATTTTAACCATTTGTAAGCATACACTTCTACAGTGTTAAATATGTTTGAACTATTGTACAACCTCCATCCATCTGCAGAACATTTGTCATTGCACACTGGAAGTCTGTATCCATTAAATATCAACTCTCAGGGCTGGGTATGTTGCTCAGTGACAGAGCACATGTTTAGCAAGGTTCTAGGTTGGATCCCCAACAAAGTAAAAAAGAAAACTCCTCATTCTTTCACCCCTATAGCCCCTGGCAACTACCATTCTTCTTTCCATTCCTATGATTTTTTTTTTTTAACCAGGAGTTGAATTCAGGGCTACTTAACTACTGAGCTACATCCCCACCCCCTTTTTTTTTTTTTTTTTTTAATATTTTATTTACAGACAGGATCTTTTTTTTTTTAAATTTATTTATTTTTTAGTATTTGGCAGACACAACATCTTTGTCTGTATGTGGTGCTGAGGATCGAACCCGGGCCGCACGCATGCCAGGCGAGCGCGCTACCGCTTGAGCCACATCCCCAGCCCCAGACAGGATCTTGTGAAGTTGCTTAGGGCCTCATCAACTTGCTGAGGCTGGCTTTGAACTTCTGATCCTCCTGCCTCAGCCTCCTGAGAGTCTATGAATTTGACTACTCTAGGTTCCTTTATATAATTGGAATCACACAATATTTGTCTTTTGTGTGTGTGTGTGTGTGTGTGTGTGTGTGTGAGACAGAGAGAGAGAGACTGGGTTATTTCAAACACAATATACTAATAAATAATGTGTATTCATTTGTATATAAATTCATTAATAAAAGTTATATATATTTATTTATTTAATCCAGGTCCCATATGTCCAAGAAGCAACATGCCCAAGGCAGGATAAGGAAGGAAGGAAGGAAGGAAGGAAGCAGTATCTCTAAGAACCACAGTTCACAGTGTCGGGCCTCTAAAGAGGTCTGAAGAAACAGAAACCCATGAATCAAGAATAAGATAAGGCTATTTGGTTTGTTTCAACCTGTGTGCCGTTTAGTTCCCTATCAGAGCCCTGCCTGGAGAATGAAATCATTTCCATCACTCAGCCCTTCCAAAGATCATCAAACACAAACACACCGTCTGCTCTTTCATTTCCTCTGTGTCCAGGGTGTGTACTGACTTGGTGGAATTTCTGGGACCAGCTGTGGATTACGTATCAAACAAAAAAACGGCAGGAAGTTGGCTCTGGGGAGAGTGAGCCTTAAATGCTGTTTGCTTACCCTGACTAGGAGTGAGCCTCTGGTGGCTTCTTAGACTGTCTCTGCCTTCCTCCCAGCTTAAGGGACATATGAAAAGGCAGTTCTGGGGTGTGGGACCTACTTTCAATGATTTGGTTCTCCTCTCACCACATTCACCCTTATTGTACCTAGACCAGCTGCTACACCTGGAAAGGATGGAAGTGATCTTTTTTAATCTCTCAAGGTCTTACCCCACTGTCCTGGGCTGAATTATGTCCCGCCTAATTCATACGTTGAAGTCCTAACCTAACTCTCAGTACCTCGGAAGGTAACCATCCTTGGAGAGGGGCTTTTTAAAGAGATGGTCAAGTTAGGAGGAGCTCATTAGGGTGGGCCCTACACCAGAATGACTGGTGTCCTTAGAAGAAGAGATCTGGGTGCACAGGTACAGATTAAGGGAGAGAGGGAGAGGACAGCCTCCTGCAAGCCAAGCTCAGAGGCCACTGACACCTTGATCTTGGACTCAGCCTCCAGAGTGTGAGAAAATACAATCTTGTTGTTGAAGCCACCCTGTCTGTGGTGCTTTGTCACAGACCGAGACACCTATCAATGGGAAGTTCACAGCCCTGATGTTGGACTTCAGAAAAGTTTTGAAAGTAATAACCAAAAATATCCAAAGGCAAAAATCTGGTGTTTTGGTAAAGATTTTTTTTTTTTTTTTTTTTACCGACTTCAGCAGGTCTAACGGAGGCAGTGAAGGCTAGGACCCAGAATGCCCAGAGAGCAGTAGGGTCACTTACTAGGTGTCTGGGGCATGATCAAGAGACACTTCATAGCTTGGCACTTGTAATCCCAGCAGCTTGGGAGGCTGAGGCAGGAGGATCGAAAGTTCAAAACCAGCTTCAGCAACTTAGTGAGGCCCTAAGCAACTCGGTGAGATCCTATTTCAAAATAAAAAATAAAAAGGGCTGAGGATGTGGCTCAGTGGTTAAGGGCCCTGGTTCAATTCCTGATACCAAAAAAAAAAAAAAAAAAAAAGTTACTTCATCCCTTCAATCCCTCTTCTCTTCTCCTGCTGTTACTCTTTGACTCCCCCAGCCCTTCCCACAACACTGCTTTGTTATCCAATAAGTCAGAAGAAAGGAGAAATTTGCATTTGCCCTTCTGACATAGCATTGTGCAAATCCTGATGCTGTTTTGGGTATTTTTGTTGGGCGGGCTGGGGGGTTGATATGGGTTGAAGAGGCAGCTGCTGGAGTCTAAGCAGGGGGGTGAATGGGTGGGTGGCAGGCAGAGGGGCCCCTAAAGATGGTGACATCCTAATCTATGTTATCTCACATGACAAGGGGGACTTTCATGATGTGATTAAAATCTTAAAATGGAATGGTCATCCTTGATTATCTCAGTGGGGTCAGTGTAATCACATGGGTACTTATAAAAGGGAGGCCAGAAGTTCAGAGACAAAGGACACCAGGGAAAGGGGGTGGGGAGGTTCGAAGATCTATCCTGCTGCTGGTTTAGAAGATGGAATTAGGGGCCACCAGCCAAGGAATGCAGGTAGATTGTCAGGGACAATCAACCACTGAGCCACATCCCCAGCCGTATTTTGTATTTTATTTAGAGACAGAGTCTCACTGAGTTGCTCAGCATCTTGCTGTTGCTGAAGCTTTGAACTTGTGATCCTCCTGCCTCAGCCTCCCAAGCCACTGGGATTATAGCTGTGTGACACTGTGCCTGGCTGCAGGTAGCTTTTTGAAGCTGGGAAAGGTAGGTAAATGGATTCTCCTTTTAGAACCTCAATAAAAAGAACACAGCCCTGATGACTCATTTTTCGACTCCTGACCCCCAGAACTGTCAGTTATTTGAGTTGTTTTAAGTGACCAAGTTTGTGGAGTTTGTTGCAGCAACCACAGGAAACCAAAACAGGATCAAGATCCTTGAGAACGGCTGCTATGACATTTAGACAGGCGGTACTCAGAGCTCAGAAAACAAAACGCAACGAAAAAGAGACAAAGCTTCCATGCCTTAAAAACAGGGTGCTCAAACGGTGGTCTCCCTGCCACAGTGCAGCAGCACCTGCGAACTGGTGGGTCCAGTCCTCTCAGGCTCCCCCAGCACTGTGGGATCATAAACTTTGGCAATGGGTCTGGTGACGGGCCCTTCCCAGGGTTCTGCTGCACACTAAGGTTCCCTGTAGAAAGATGTGAATGGGGCTTCTTCTTGGTGGATGGAGGGTACCTGTGGACCCTGTGTGTTTGTATTTATGCATGCGCATGTTTGTGTGTGTGTGTGTGTGTGTGTGTGTGTGTCTTGGGTGCATAGGCTCCCACTGAATGCACAATTACAATGATTATTTCATAACTTAAGCTTGGGTTGGAATCTTGGAAGGATGGGGGCCAAGTCATTCTCCCAAAGATGGGCTCTGTGGGAGGAGGGAGAGCCCAGAATTCAGCTTCCATGTGCTCACAGTCCCTGCCTCTTCAGGCTGTGCTGGTGTGAATCAGAGTGGATCCTGGTGACTGCCCGCACTATCCCCTTACTTGTCCCAGCCTGGGGCTTCCTCTAACTTTCCCCTCTCTCTGCCTGAAGCAATCCTAAACTGGCTAGGTGGGAAGATAAAGTACTCACTTTCAAAATGCCAGTGACCCTGTAAAGGTTGAAATCACACAGATATTGATTCCTGGATGTGTCTCTTAGTAGCTGGGTGACCATGGGTGCTTAGTTTCTGAGTCTCTGTGTATTTATCTGTAAAATGGGTACGCTGAAAACATGCCCTGCTAGAAGCACTGGGAAGACTAAATGAGGTCAAGTATGTTAAAGTCCTTTTGTCAAGGACCCAGAGCAAAGGAAAAGCTTAATACTGTGGTTCTTATGTAATGAATTATAATTAATATCTATTGTCATTTATATCAGCCTTATTTCCAAGCGTCACATGTTAGGAATACACATAAATACAGTTCAATACACATAAATATAGTTCAAGTTCACCTACATAAGGAATTCAATTTTTTTTTTTTTTTTTTTTTTGGTAGTAGGGATCCAACCCAGGTCCTCACACATGCTAGGCAAGGGCTCCCACTTAACTTTGTCCACAGCCCTTGGGAGTCTTTTCACAGAGATTTGGAGAACCTGGCATGCAGGAGGCCCTGACTTGGATCCCCAGCACAGAAGGGGGAAGGAAAAAAGTGCCCTGGGGACTTAAGGTGTTCCTCGGGCTCCTGCTAATGGACCTTTTTGCAGCGGGGTGGGCCTGCACGGGGACCTGGCAGCATCTCAGCACAGCTGCTCGGGTACCTCACTGCCTGCATTCCTCTGACTGGTTACAACAGGTCTGGTACTTTTCCTCCCTCCTCCTCGGCAGGGCCTCCACATCGTGCAGACAGCTGCTGCCACATTCCACTGCTCCAGAAGCGGAAGTAAGGCTCATTCAGGACCTTTCTGGGTGACTTGACAGCATTTGATATGAGATTAACCAAATGCCAGTGTTGGGGGAAAACCAGCTTTCCCCTGAGTCACCTCCACCCGCCTTTCTCAGGACACAGACACTGAGCTTGAAGACTGCTGGCCTGTGTGATTGGAGGGTGTCAGCCTCTGGCTGTGGGCCCACTGGTGACCTGGTGCACACTGTGTGTTGGGAGCGTAGGTCTGACTGTGCTGCTGAGTGAGCCTGCGGCCCCTGGCCACAGTGTCCTTGGCCATGCCTTGTGCTGGGCATGTGTGGGTCTCTCTGCCTGCCATGCAGGGTGTCTGTCTCCTGATGGAGGATGAGGGACTATTCCAGTTCACCCCGTGAAGCTGCAGGGTTTTTCCTCAGCTACCATGTGGGGACACAATGAAAGCATTCCAGGAAACCAGAAGGGCTGGGCCAGCCTCTGGATCTTAGAGCTGACAGCTGGGCCGCCAGGGGACTCCTTTCTTCTGTGTCATTTTCTCTGAGCTGTGGGGCACTTTTGGAGCAAACTCCACTTGGTTTTACGACTTAGCCTTCTCACAAGGGAAAAGCCTACTTCTTTTTCTCGGCAGAGTTTAATTTGTCATTCTACTAAGTCCCAAGTTTTCAATTCTACATAGGATGAAGGGACAGAATGGGTTTGGGGAACTTTATCATGTCCCCAAAAGTCACAATATAGGGCAAGAGAAATTAACAGAACACCTTGCCCTCTTTTTAACTCAAATTTGTTTTGTCTGTTCTGTTCAGCTATATGGAAGGATGGGGCATGATAGCATATCTTTGAGGGTACTTCAAGAGAAAAATAACCTAAATGTCAAGAAGCAGACCACAAAGATGCACACCCCCCCCCCAAGCTTTCTTGGTATGCTCCTCCTCCCTCTCCTTAAAAAAAAAAAAAAAAGTCTCCCACACACAGAATCCACAAAAAGGAAAAACCAAAGCCAAGAATCCTTGAATCTGCCTGAGCACCTGCCTCAAGCATCTTCCACACCCTCTCCCCAGACTCCATAACAATGATTTCTATCTCATAGGTCTCTAAAGAGATGACTCGCTGGGTGCCACCTGTAATCCCAGAAACTCAAGAGGCTGTGGCCTGAGGATGACAAGTTTGAGGTCAGCCTCAGCAATTTAGTGAGATGGTTCTTTGTTCCTGTCTCCCAAGCTTCCTGTCCTACTTCAAAGATATTTAACTCCAGACAGCTTGTGCCCACTGATCAAATGACTGCCACATTCCACATCTACTGAGATCAAACTGTGGAAAGAATGGGCACACTCCACTTGTTTATATAGGTGGCCAAGACTATGAGCTCTTGAATGGGCACTTTCTGTCATCATACCCCATTAGAAATTGTGTGTGTTGGGGGGGGGGGGGGGGGTAATGGTGGGGACAAGAGACCTTTTCAAGTGAAGAGCATTTCTGGGTGGGGGGAGGTGGCTGCTTCC